AAATGTTGGCAAGTTGACTGATATTTTGCACATCATTTACTGGGAAGAGAGAACTTTTCGTGAAGTTGATGTGTAACCCCGAGACTACTTCAAAAAAAGTTAGAACCATCCTCAAAAGCATGACTTGGTGTTCCTCTGCATCACACATGATCAGAGTGTCGTCTGCATATAAAATGTGAGTGATTTGGAGATTCCCAGATCCTCTACAGTCCGCATGAAAACCCGAGATCCAGTTTGCTATAACATCTTACTAAGGCCCTCCATGACAAGAATAAAGAGAAAGGGAGAAAGAGGATCGCCTTTTCTTAGTCCTCTTTGCGAAGAAAAGAAACCATGAGGATTGCCATTTATGAGAATAGAGAATTTTACTGAGGAAATACAAAATCTGATCCAATTAATCCATTTGCGGCTGAAGCCCATTTGCCTTAATAAATTCAGCAGAAAACCCCAATTGACATGATCAAAAGCTTTTTCGATGTCTAACTTACAAAGGATTCCCAGCTTTCCTAACTTCATTCTTGAATCCAAGCATTCATTAGCAATCAAGGCCGCATCTGTGATGTTTCTATCGCTAAGAAAAGCCATTTGAGAGGGGCTGACTAGACTAGGAAGCACTTTTTTAAGTCTATCCGCCAAAGTTTTTGATAGAATCTTGTAGAAACTGCCTATCAAACTGATAGGTCTGAAATCTTTAAGTTCCTTTGCACCAGTTTTCTTGGGAATGAGAGCAATATACGAAGCATTTAAGCTTCTCTCAAAAAATTCAAGATTGTGAAAGTGGTTGAGAGCATTCAACAAATCAACTTTTATTACTCCAAAACACTTTTTGTAAAAACCCATGGAGAGACCATCCGGACCAGGAGCTTTGTCACTTTCACAACTTTTGATTACCTCCAGAATCTCCTCTTCCAGGAATGGATGATGTAGCCATTCTTTTTCCTCATTAGAGATACAGGGAGCATTTGCAAACTCCCATTCTGACCTCCAAGACTCATTCTCTCTGTAGAAGGACTCATAAAAACTAAGAATCTCATTAGAGATGATTTCCACGTTATCAGTAGTGTTACCCCCAACTTCCAGCTTGTCAATTTGATTGAACCTCCTGTGGGAATTAGCCATTTTGTGGAAAAAACCAGTGTTGTTATCTCCTTGCTTCAACCAGAGGCATCTAGACTTCTGCCTCCATGAGATTTCTTCCAATCTAAAAATCTCCTCAAGCTCCATTTGTAAGCTTGCTTTGGAAAGAAGTAGATCATCTGGCAGAGGTGTTTCTTCAGCATACTGGTCAATTTCCAGAATCCTATTCAGAATACACGATTTCCTATTCTTCAACTGTCCAAAAGAGGACTTGTTCCATTCCTTCAACTTGAGTTTCAGCAACTTAAGTTTCTTTGCAAAAATAAAATCTGGTCTGCCAAGAATGTTGAAAGAACTCCACCAGTTTCTGACTATTTCCTCAAACTCAGGATGTTCCAACAACATATTTTCGAACTTAAAATAAGAGATATTATTAGACCAGTGCCCGCACTCGAGAAATAATGGACTGTGATCCGAGACCATACGAGGAAGAGTAGATTGTTTGATTACACCGAATAGATCATCCCACTCGGCAGAAAACAAGAATCTGTCGATCCTAGAAGCCACTCTGCAGGAGTTATCTTTAGACCAAGTATACTTTCCCCCAAATAAAGGGGGATCTATCAAATTCAAGTCCTCGATGAAATCTGAGAATTCCTTCATGCCTCTGTCAAACCTGGAACAATGTTTTCTCTCACAAGGAAACCTTGTGGTATTGAAGTTGCCACCAATGACCCAAGGCCCCTCACCAGTGTTATTAAAAGCGCTCGCTTTAAGCGCTGAAGCGACGCGAGGCGCAGGGCTATCGCTTTTCTTCTACAAAAGCGACTCACATTTAAAAAGCGCTCGCTTCTCGCGCTTAAGCGAGAAGCGCCTCGATGGAAAAGCGATAAAAAAGCGTGCTTAAGCGAGCAGAAGGCATCTGCTAGGTTTTTTTTTTTAAATTTTTTGGCAAATAAGCCATCTGTTAACAAATAAACATACGCTCTTCAACGACTTCTTCTCCAGCGAACTCCAGCGACGATGGAGTCTCCAGTTCTCGGTAAGTTTCTTCAACGACTTCTTCTTCTTCTTTCAATTTTTTTCACTTTTTAAGCACCGATTTTATGCACTTCTTCTTCTGTTCTACTTTGTGCTCTGTTTTATGCTTTATCATCTGCTTTATGCTATATTTTCTGGTTCGTGTGAATTAACTGTTATGTTTTTTTTTTGGTTGTTGATTGTAGTATCTATTATTTGCTTCTTGATTCAAGAATTGAAACATTTGCTTATATGTTATTTTTAATGAGTTCTTAGCCATTTATCTATGCCTATTTTTTTTTTTTATTTATGTGTAAAATTTCGCTTCACATGAAAAAAGCACGCGCTTCGCTTCTCGCTTCGGTGAAGTGAGGCCTTGTCGCTTTTTAGCGCTTAACGCTTTCCAAAACACTGCCCCTCACAGAGACCCCTGACAGCCGAAAGTTCCAACTTTAATTGGTTCTTCTCCTCCCTATTGATGGGTGCATACACTCCGGACATGCACCATGAAAAATCAGAGTGCATATTTGAAAGTTTAATGGAGATGGAATGAATACCGTGAAGAATAACAGACCCCTCCCAGACCTTTTTATCCCAAAGAATAATTATACCTCCCTTTGTCCCATCCGCTTCCACAAAAGCATAATCCACCCATCTTCCAAATTTAAGACCTCCAGCCAGCTTGTGGGACCAAAATTCTAGCTTAGTTTCTTGAAGGCAAACGATGTCGGTTTTCCATTCCAAAAGAAGGCCCTTCACCATCTCTCGTTTGTCAGCCTTATTCAAACCTCTTACATTCCAAGAGATAATTTTGAGCTTCATCCGTAAGAAGTTGATGGCTGAAACCTTCCCTCATCACCCTGAAAACCCTTAATCATAATTCACCCGGAAAACCAATCTGTCAAGTTCATGGACAAATTTCTGTTTCTTCCCAGATTGCTTATTGGAAAAATTAGACTTCCTGTAAGCATTCTTCCTCCTTCCAATTCGTTGTAGCATCTCTGTTATATCCTTCTCTGCCCCAGCATATTTGACACCTAACATTTTACATACCTTGGAAGTATTTCTGCGAATCCAACGAGAGATGTTATCTTCATCAAAGTTTAGAAGTTTTCCCATACCTTCTGCCTTGGTCTCGTCATTATACCAGCAGAGACATTGAGCATCATCCTGTGTGCAAATTGGAGTAATATCCTCAGTGATCAAATCCATATCGTCCGAGAGACTTGAAGAAACCCGCTGATCCAATTGAGAAATCGAAGAAAATCCCCAAGGTGATGCTAGAGCCATGTGTTCTAAGATATGTGGATTTTTAGAAGAAATGAAACATCCTTTTTATCAAAGAGTAAAACCTTTGGCTGGATCCAGTAATTTTTAAGGCCAAGTCTTGGTGAGTTTAAAGTCCTGTGAGTTTTTATACTAGTATGTTCATAAAAGAAGTTGGTTGTTGTATAAGAAAAGAGTAAAAGAAAGAAATTGAAAGAAAGTTATCTGCGCGTATGAGGACCTGTGCTCTCTTATACAACAAGATTTGGTATCTAATGATTTCTGAGTTTATAGGACAAGTAGACGTGTTCAGTGTCGTCATTTAGAGAGAGATGTGGCTCAAAGATGGTGGCTGCTGAGACTTCTGCTTGTTTATTTGTAGTTCTGGTAGTGATGCACCGAAGCTAGAATATTAAGTGTTTGTGTGTGAGTTGATACCTTGTAGAAGTCTTACCTAAGATATGCATCTACATCAGATTTTATTTGTGGCATTGTCTGTTAATCTTGCTTACTGCTAATCTTCCTACTAGTTGAATTTTTAGTGTCTGTTCTCTCTCTCTCTCTCTCTATATATATATATATATATATATAATAACATAGTATCCATGTCTTGCATTATATTTCATCTTATCTTTAGCCCAATAGCCATCATCCATGTCTTGCATTTCTGACAATCAATTGCAGATAGGACTGGTGGTTGATTTAACAAACACTGACCGTTACTATCCAGAATCAGATTGGACCAGTCATGATATTCGACATGTTAAGGTAAATATGGGCAGTTTTATTTATCCTATTTGATCTCATGGTTAACTGGCCAGTGGTATGCTATGTTCGGTTTATCCAGATTCGATGCCCGGGACAGGACTCTATACCTGATGCTGAATCTGTAGATAGATTTGTTTCTGAGGTAATTCTTCTTCTGCTGTCGCATGCATGTCAGCTATCTTTTCATCATGCTCTGCATGTCTGGGAAGGGCGCCTATGGCTGTGTGATAATTACTTCTCACTTTGCTGAGTGTCTCATCTTCAGAACTTATATTTGATTGCAGATCGTGCAATTTACGTCTCAAGACTCTCAAGCAAGCAAGTATGCTGTTGTCCACTGCACTCATGGTCACAACCGAACAGGATATATGATTGTACATTTTCTCGTACGTAATCAGTCAGTTAGTGTTAGTGAGGTTAGTGATCTATTATTTTTTTTTTAAATTGTTTTATTCTTCTTAGTATTCCAACATAATTTAGAATTTCAGGCAATAGCAATATTTTCCCGAGCACGCCCTCCTGGAATTTACAGACAGAAGTATGTTGAAGCATTATATGACTTTTATTTGCAAGCAAAGCCTGAACCTCTCGTTTGTCCCCAAACTCCAGAATGGAAGAGAGATGCTGATCAAGATAATGATGCTGTTGCTCCTTCTTCTGTAAGTAGCTCCTTTGAGATTATTTGGCGAACAATTGCTGCTTTGATATATCAGAAAATTCTCACGGGTTCAACCCTGGAGCAATTAGTGCACTATTATTGAATTGGTGAAAGATCATGCATGAAGCAATTATTAGTTACTATGAGGAGCAGTCTGATTATAGATGTGAATATTGTACTTAGATGCGTACCACATCACAATCACACTGTATGAAGTAAATCACTGTGTGAAGTTACAAAGTCACGTTGTTGGCCTGTGTGACATATCAAACTCCATGAACCAATGAAGTTTGTTGTTTGAGGTTTTACTTGAGCCGTCTTTTCTAGTGCTGCAGGTTAACTATGGAAGTGCCACATTTATTTTGCATTCACTTGCAGAGATTTGATTTACTTTTCATATTTTACTACCGTTCTATAAGTTTGCTGATTACCAAAAGAACTGATTCCTTAGAATATTGCGTATTTTCTTTAAAGACAACATGAAGTTGTTGACAGCAAGCTAGCATTCACTATTTATCTTCACTCCGTTTCTGTCAAGTTTAAAAGGAGCGTGAACTGTATGCTTCCCAACATTTAGGAGAAGGCTGTGAGAAATATAACACAAAAGGAAGAACTGAAGATTGTAGTTCTTGTTTATTCTCCTAAGCTATTGGGTGTTTAAATAGTAAATACACCTATTCTAAACCTAAGTTGCTCGGACACGGGTGTCGATCTAGAGGTCGGATCCTTCGAGATGTAAATTCTAAGATTCGGGGATATGGATCCTAGTACGGATACGGGTGCAGGGATCCGGCTAAAAATAATTCAAAAAAATAAAAATATAAAAAATATCTCTAATAGTTAAGTGCCTTAATGTTTTTCATCTTTCCAAAAAATCTGCTCTCAGGCACACTCCCTGAGGAGCCTGAGAACCTGGAATTCTGAGTTCATACAAACACCATCGGAGAGCCACTGGTGAC